AGTTCACTAAGACGCCTTCTGATTTTGATTTGTCTCACGAACAAGTAGAGTTTATTCTACTCTGTGTCGATTGTTTGTTTTTGTGTCCAGCCTCAGACAGAACAGCCGTGTATTCTGCATTTCTCTCATGTGTTAACCAAGTTGTGATACTAAGGGGAAAAAACACGTGTACTGCTGCTGTAGAACACTTCTTTAAATCTGTCAGCAGTTTCCCAAACTATTTATTTTTTTTTGAGAGGTGGCAGATTGAACATGTTCCCGATGATGTTCTACCAATAATGTTAGACTTGAACGCGGTCGTTTTAACGTCTTCTGGAGAAAGTAAAGATGTAGAAAAGTACGCGGATTTACTCCTTGGGAACTCTTTCCTCAAAAAATCCGGGGGGAGAAACTTTGTCTATCTAACTGACATAGCAAATGGGCATTTTCATTCTGAATTACTTCCTGAACTGATATCAGCGCAGGTTTGCTCTTCTCAGCCACCTGTGGATAATTTGGTAAATAATGAAAACAACGACATTGATGTGCCTTTGACTGAGAACCACTGTTTGTCACTGGTAAGAAACGTTGGCATTCGGGTTTACGCAGTTAAGGAAGCTGCTCGGTTGAAGAACGTATTGCCTTTAGTAACAGCTCCTCGAGAAATTAGAATATGGGTGACGTGGAAGGAGGAGGAGGAGAAAGCTTTTAAAGATCAATTGATTGAGAGCGCGATTAACGGAATTAATTTTACTGACAATCTCCACAGTTTAAAACTTAAAGACATCAATATAGCAGAAAAGTGTGCTACTTTTATCTCTGACTCACTGCAGCATTCTCCAAATTTGCGTGAGCTCCATCTGTGGTGCATCCCTTTACACAGAGGTGTGAGTCATTTGGCTGAGAATCTTCATCACGTGCCACAGTTGACGAAATTAGTGTTGCAGTATGTACAAATGGGAGAAAAGGAATGTGCGGCACTGGCTGCCTCATTAAAGTACTTAAACAAGTTAGAAGTACTGGATATAAAAGGCAATGCCCTGGGTCACGAGATTATTGAACTGGCCAAGAACCTGAACAATGTACCCAATCTGACTAAGCTGCGCCTGGGGAATACAAATATGGGTGAAGATGAAGCATTAGCACTGGCTGCCTCATTAAAGTACTTAAACAAGTTAGAAAAACTGGATATACGCAAGAATGCCCTGGGTCACGGGATTATTGAACTGGCCAAGAGCCTGAACAATGTTCCCAATCTGACTAAGCTGAACCTGTCGAATACAAATATGGGTGAAGATGAAGCATCAGCACTGGCCCATGCACTAAAGTATGTGCCACTGCTAAGATATCTCATTCTAGAATGCAATCCACTTGGCCACGGGATCAGGGATCTGGTCCAACATCTCAGCAGTGTTCCTGAGCTGGAGCGCCTGAACCTGAAAGGTGTTCAGATGACAAGGACAGAATTTGAAGAGTTGTCTACAGTAGTAAATGAGAGAAACGTTTATGTGAATACCGATTACCATGTAAGTGCTTTTTCGTTGTTTCACTCAGTTGTTATGTATCTAATTTTTGTTTAGATGGTCTTCAGCAGAGCACTTGATTATGTTTGCAATAACTTGCTTTGGACTCAATTAATCAGATTATTTTTCGTGAGAAAGAATACAGTCTTCAGGAACAGTCACTGTTTTCAGAAGTTTCTTTTTCTATTTTGCGACGTTGGGAGCCAATATTGTAGATGGAGACCGCAACAAACCCACGTTAAGTACATTTATGGCTCATGCGTAGCTTGTTCAAAGATGATTTGAAGAAAAAAATGACGAAGATTAAATTTAGTGACTTCCAAATGACTTGATGTTTCCTGATTACACAATAATTAAAAACTTTGGGAGTTCATTCGATTGACCTTTGCTTTGTTTTTGTAGTTACGCCTTACTTGAGAGAGAAAAAAAAAGATGAGTTGTGAGAATTTTTCTCTGACCAAATTCCTCAGCTCATTTTTGAATTTTGAAATTGTTCGGCTTCTGTTGTTATTGTGGGATGCTTTTATTTGGGTTTCATTATTTAACGAGAAAGGATTGTTCAACCGAGACATGCTTTGAATTCGATGAAGTTGTTCCCTACATTCTGTTCCGGCATATATTCACTTTTGCTATCAGGGAGCGTGAACCTCAAAAAATATAAAGGAGCAAACAAAAGGGATTTTTCCTTTCTTAAAATCCGAATTCGTTTTTTTTTTTAAGTGAAAGTCACGTTGATTCTATTGTCATATCTTCACGTCTTAAAGTTTGTACCACATCAGTGATCAGATTGATATGTTGATCCATACATGTATGTGTTTTGCCTCCTTACAGCTAAGTTCCAGAATATTCTGAGTTCCATTTGAGTACCATAATCCAACAGCTACAGGCTTTATGACGCCAAGGTGTACAGACAAAACAGTTTCTTTTCCCACAGCTGGTTGAATTTCATTGCTGTCCACCGGATTAATCACTATACCCATTAGATTGGTGTGAACACAATCAGCCACACAATCTACTGGGTAGTGGTTTATCTGGTGGATGGTGTTATCAATTCAATTCAGAAAAAACAAGTACCTGGGAGTTAATTACAACTGCTGTTTTCTCACCAGAGAAGCAACTTGAAAGGTGAGTGTTAATCTATCGACATCAATCTGCATGACTTCTACATGTAATGAAAGAGTTGACCCAATCAACTCTGCCTGTAACTCATTCCCAAAATGTTTTAATATGTAATCATTAACATGTAGTAGTACATTGCTCACAGCCCAAAACACAGCTTTATTAGCTCCTTATCAAGTGATAACACAACTACTTGATTTGAGCTCCTCTTAGACAGTATATATAGGAATAATATACATGCACACCTGTCTGACGGGTAACAGATGAGTGTAGAACATTCCATATGATTACATGCTACAGGTCTAGAAATAAGTAATCACATGACTAGTACATGTATAATAAGGTAAACAATGACACAACTTGGTGCAAAGGCAATTATTTACATTTAAAAACAAATCCAAAATTAATTACTAAAAAAAATTATATTGAAAGTTCTATTTAGACATCACAAAGCTTTGCTGGTTTCATTGGAATATTTAACATGGACTCTAAATTCACTCCCAAGGCATTTGCAGTTCTGTTGTTTTGCAAATGTGCTCCTGATTTCTTCAGCACTCATCCCATCTGCCTTGATTTTATATGACTTAATTGTTACTTTCTCTTTTGATCATGCACATGGCTTCCTTTCACCTGACTTGAAGTTGGTTGAGGTTTATTACTGTAATCTTGTAAAAGAGAGACAGCAGTAGCTTTAATCCTCCCTATTATGCATGATATCATTTGGCCCACGCACTGCTTCTTCTTTATTGAAGCTCTAACAATGCTTGAGTTCAAAACTAATTTTTTGTTTTAGTAACAGCTCAGGCTTAACAAGGGGAAGTGTAATTGTTGTTTTTTGGCTTTTCATTTGATGAAGCTGACCCAATAGGCTGAGTATTCTTGTGTTCCAATATATCCATCCTTGGGTGCTGGCTCATCTAATACAATCTCTTTTGCTTACTTTATCACAGCCTCTGTAGGACCATTAATTACCTCTAGAGTGGTGCAGGCATGCAGGAGGATTTATTATGATCATGGAAGTTCTAGTTAGCTTTGAATGGTTTAAATTCTTTAATGGTGTATTGGGGTCCACTGTCTGAAATCATTTCTTTGGAATTCCATGCCTAGCAAATATCTTCCTCATGTGCTGGAATGGTGTCTCAGCAGCTCACTTTTTTCCAAAATTAATGGTTACCGTAATACTTGGTCAGATTGTCTACAATAATCCAATGAAATCTCTCTTTCCCTTGAACAAATACTGTTTGCCATCTTCTTTGTGTTAGGTTGACTTTGCATGGTTTATCAAGGTTGCTTTGGTTTTGATTTGCTTCTAGTACAGGTGCTATTGAGGTATTTCATGTCATTGTGAATCA